AATAATGAATTGAGTAGTTTTATGTTGTTTGTTTTTACTAGGGGAATTTAAAAAATGGCATTTCTTCCATAGGATTTTAGCAGAGACAGTACTGGGGTAGAGTCTAGTCAGTGACAAAATATGTCTTACACTTCAGGGAAAGTCTTTCTTTAATAATTAATGTAGTATAGAGGTTAATGAATTTTATGATCAACCTGAAATGAACAGAATGTGGAAACGAAACATGCTGCTTGTGGTTGGAGACTGGAACGTCATAGTTGGAAAAGGAGGACAACAATGTTCAACTATATGGCCTAGGAAATGAAAATGAAGCAGATCAATTTAGTTTTTGACAATCCAATAATTTATTATTTCTTCAAACAACCAAAACAACTGCTACACATATGGACATCTTCAGACATAGCACACAAAAATCAAACACTATGTTATTGGCAATCATTGGAAAAGTTGTTATAATAGAACAAAATGTGGCCAGGGGCTTGATTGTGAAGATATACAAGTGCTCATATACAAGTTTCAAGTCAAGCTAAAGTGAAAGAAAGCCAAGGAGTTTCTACAATATGATCCTAAGCATGTACCCCACCACCATTTTCACAGATAACATCAAGTATTGCTTTCAAGACCTGAACATCATTTGTAAGGAACTAGAAGAACTGTACAATAAAACCAAATAAATTGTTAAGGGTCAATATGAAATGAGATTGTAAAAGAGCAAGCAGCATGTCAACAGATGATGGAAAATTGTCAAGAAGAGATAAGCCAAAATTTAAGAAAACCTGAGATCATGGAAAGAAACTTATTTTAAAAATTCAGAAAAAAGACAAGCAGAATTAGGATGACATCTGTAAAAATATTGAGAATAGAAACTGATTATAGAAAAAAGGCAAAGCCTTCCAAAAGATTTCTGAACATAATGGTATACTAAAAGATCCCACTTGACAAGATGCAAGGACTATACTGAAATTCTATACAATAGGTATAGCAGTCAAAATACTGTAGATTTTTCCTATTTATAAGAAACTAATAGAAAATGTATTTAGATCACATTAAGATCATTACCACAAGAGAAAGCTACAAGAATTTTTAGATATCTCCAGAAGTATGGCAAGCAACAGAAGAAAAGATTCTGACCAAACTATGCCAGTAAACAATTCCAAAATATCTTATTGGAAGGAGTATGCAATAAAACATATTGATTAGTTCTTTCATTGTATGCATTTCATTGCATTATCTGATGTACAGTTTCATTGTTTTCAGACTGACATTATTGACAAATTGATGATTAATTCATTTTCCTGTCAATCAGAAATTTTTAAAAAATGTTTTTCCATTTGTTTACTATATATATAAGCTACCCATTTTAAGTATGTCTAGGTAACGTACACAATTTAAATTTTATACTTACAATACACGTAAAACACACAAATTATGAAGTAGGATTGTCTACCTTTTAAATTTTTGGGCAGTCAGCTTGGCTGGATATAGTTATAGCTATAGTTAGCATTGATAGGTATGCCATTCTCCTAGGCGCTGCTTGGAGTGTCCAAGCATGGGTTAACTTCAGCTTGATGCCCAAGGACTTAGTTCCACGTTTGTGTAGCCACGCCTCCTGCTCCTTATAGAGGCCAGTTTAAAAAACTCAGTCGCCCTAAAAGGATGCATTTTGAGGAGCTCTAGTACTTGAGCAGCAAAGTTGGACTCTCCAAACAGTGTAGTGTAGCCTTTGTTATTTTTGTATTTAGTTGATAATTTGTTTTTTTGCAGTTTATTTTTTTTCTCAGCTCTTTTCGACGCGCAGAGCAGGGTGCTTGGTGCGAAGCTGCCTTTCGTGATCATCGCCGTTGAGGCATCACCACGGGAGGCTCATTCAGTGACTGCTCCCTGAGCTCTCTGGATTGCCGACAGTCCCAATGTTGCTCCGAGCTGCGCAGCGACCTTTTTTGACAGTTTAAAATTGGCACATTTTTTTCTTCTTGGCTGTTTGTGTTGCCGCTGCCTGTCTCCAAAGCAGATCGCTGCCGGGAGAGGTATTAATTCAGCGACCTTGCTCCGGGCTTCCAGGCAGGTCTCCCCCTCCCCAGGAAGAACATTCTATAGCAATAGCAATAGCAGTTAGACTTATATACCGCTTCATAGGGCTTTCAGCCCTCTCTAAGCGGTTTACAGAGTCAGCATATAGCCCCCACAATCTGGGTCCTCATTTTACCCACCTCAGAAGGATGGAAGGCTGAATCAACCCTGAGCCCGTGAGATTTGAACCGCTGAATTGCAGATAGCAGTCAGCTGAAATGGCCTGCAGTACTGCACTCTACCCACTGCGCCACCTCGGCTACTATAGAGCTATTAATCCTGTATTGCGGCTATTCTAAGCGGCTGCAGTGTGTTTAGCTGTTTGACTTGGCCATACCCTGCTTTAAATTTAGTGCGGATCTGTGGGCGCTCTGGACCTTTTCTGATAGCCGCCATTTTATTCCTGCTTGAGCTCTTCATTGCCTCAGGACAGTTACTGTTCTATTTGGGACTTTAATTACTTCGCTTCAACCTCTAGTGGCAGCAGACCTGCAGTGAAGGACAATTTATTGTGCCCTGATCCTTGGCAATGGCAAGCAACAGTGCAACCAAGGATGTTGAGCAAGCAGGTCCTTCCATCAGTAAGCGCAGCAAGCCCAGTCCTACTGGCACGGATGATGGTACTGGGCGTACATCTAAGCAGAAACAGCCCAAGTCTAAGAAGGCATCCAAAGCTGTTGAAAAAATTGCTGAGAGACACCAAAGAGCCTGGAAAACAATTTCAAAAAGCCCAAAGGCTTGTCAGGGGTACTTTTCTGCCTGTGGAGGCTTCTGCAGGTCCGTCCCTGCCCACTTTCCATCGAGATATTTCTCCATCCCTGGCAGAGGAAGGGGAGCTTGATTTATTACCCGATCCATCCAGGGCGTCCCCTAGATTCCTCAGTCCATCCCTGCTTGAGGATTCAGTGCATGAGGCCTGTTCCTTTATTGAGGAGGAAAAGGACCTTCTGTCCCCTAACCTTAGAACCAAGGCCCTAATCTTTCCCATGAGACAAAGGAGGTCATCGCACATGCGATATCTCAGGGGATTGCTGAAGGCATTTAACAGCTGGGTCACAGTCTGCCTCACCAGGGTCAATCTAGAATTAGGGCACATGCCTCCAGTTCCAAAGACCAGCCTCGGGGATCTTCATCTCCTGCTTTTGCTGTCAGTGAAGAGTCAGAGGTGGAGGAGGGTGGACCTAGATTTGTCGTAAGATGAAAATCCAGCTCCTGACATGCCCACCTTCTCGGGATTATTCAAACCCTCAATGTTCAAGGCTATCCTCACCAAAGCCAGAGCATCCATCCAAATGGGCAAGGTATGCCATTTTAATATAAATATTTGCCTATTTGATTTGTATGCTGCCACAATTAAAAGAACAAAGCTTCACTTATATAATTAGAAATTAAATAAAACACTCATGATAAATGAATAATAAAAAAGGACACAGTGACACCAGTAGTCACTGTGATGTCAGTTCTTTTCTAAAAGACTTGACCAACTCAATTTTTAGTAGCTTGTGCAAAGGCAATGCTCTCAGAAGTAATAGGAAAAAAGTGCAAGGCTTTTTTTAAAGGTTAAAATTAGTCTAGCTTTTCCTTCAGTTCTCATTTAACAGTAGACAAGTACTTTTGTAAGAATCACTTTTTAAAAATTCTCTTTGTGCCATTATCTCCAAAGAATTTTTTATAGCATTCTGGCTACTTCATCAGTGTACCAATTAATCCTGTATTGCGGAATGCCAAAGAGCTTCATTTTTGTTAGCAAAATCTTGTAATTGGTGAGGAATATGCTATCTTTTCCATTAAATTTATTTTATGCATCATATATAATGAGTGAAACATCAATATAACAATTCATTAATAATTATAAATGTAGTTGATCTACACTGTTTCTGATTAATTGGAATTTTTGGATTTCTTCCATTTCTTGTCTTTAATAAATAAAATACATGTTTAGCCTGTTTAAAATAACAATATAAACTTGCATTTCCATCATCCATATTTTAGAATTTATTTTTCAATGATTTTTACACTTAGAACAATAGTTTTAAAGATCTGACCGAACTCCAAAACCAGGTCCCTTGGGTGGCTGTGTCAGGGAAGTCAGACCACCAGATGGTTCACAAGAGAAACGTCCACTTCTGGGGGGGGAAATAAAAATTAAATATTAGAATTTACATTGAATATATCATTCACTATATTTTTAGTCATTTTGAAAAAGCCACAAAAATCTGTTTCAACTTTTGATGATTTGTTTTAAGCATCTTTTAGTTCAATACAACAGTGTTTTTCAACCTTGGCAACTTGAAGATGTCCGGACTTCAACTCCCAGAATTCCCCAGCCAGCATTCGCTGGCTGGGGAATTCTGGGAGTTGAAGTCCGGACANATCTATAGACCGGGTTGGAGCTGAAGAGGGGCGGACACACACGCTCCCCTCTAAACAACCACATTTGCAGAAAGGAGCGAGTTTGACAGACACGTATATATCTCTATATATGGCAGAAGGAAGCGAAAGAGAAAATCTCGGAGCAACGTTAAAACCCAAACGCGGCTGTTTTTATTCCCGCCACCTCTTCCCCCACCCCCACCCCCTCACCTCAGCGCGATATTAACCAAGGTTGTCATCCACGTAATTGCCGCCGCCGCCTTCATTCCCCCTCCCCGGACCCGAATCTGCGGTAACGACACTGGCAGTTTCTTCCTCTCATTACCTTTCCTCAGCGGAAGAGAGAGACGACTCCTGACAAGACGGGCTGTCCTTTCCAGGCTGCTCAGCCACCCGCTGCCAGTGAGCGGCGCCCCGAGTTCCAACCCCGTTCCAACAGCTACGGTAACAGTCGGCTTTGGACGACACCCCTTCCCCTCAGTTCAGTCGCTCCCCTTTCCCTCGCCTCTCCTCCCCCTCCTCCCTGAAGCCCGTCAGTATGTCGGTTTGTCACTCGCCTGCGGGATTGGTGGAAGCGCCATTCACGTGACGGGAGTCGGGCGAGAAGAACGGGTAGACACGCGGTGCGGTCGTGAGCATTAGCGAGGCGAAGGGAGGTGAGGAGAGTTCGGAGCAAAGGCCGACGTCACAATTGCCCGTTCTTAGCGTTTCTAGGGGTTCCACGGCAGTAATTTAACTCGTTTCTTAACATAACCACCGGCCAGAAGGAGAAGAAGGGGGGGGGGAGAATAACGGGCACGGTTACGATTAGAGGGCGGAGAAAGTGTTAGTGCGCAAGCGTCGAGATCATCTTCTCTTCTTGGGTGGTGCGGCTAGAACTTTCTCGAAATACCGGCGGCGGGGCAGGGGTGGTTCTGTAAGGAGGCGTAGAGGGGAGAGAAGAACCTACGGACTTGGCTTGACCAGGGGATTCGAACAGGTACCGAAGCACGTTTAGGAGTCGGTCATTCATGTTACTCCCTTCCCGAGGGAAGGGCTTTGGTAAGGACGATGGCGCAGTGAATTTTTAATAAACACTGAGCACGCATGCGTGGCTGGTTTGAGAAGCTCTGCTGCATCCTAATAAACCAGCCGTCCGGGTGCAGGTGTTAAACCGCATTCGGGTCTTTTTTTCTTTGTACTTGTTGCAGACCTCCCTCCCCCCTCGGTTTTTTTTTTCTTTTCGAAGGATGGATGGGTGAAATCCACGTATGGAGCTCAGTGCATTATTGACATGTCAGTGTAGGCCGACTTCCATGCAATCCGTTTGCTTGTCTTGAATAATAAATGTCGCGAACAACCGGGTTTCTGTTGAAAGCTTTTGAGTAGACGCCGACGTTACAAGTCGGAAAGGCTGCTCAGAACATTCTTGCGTAGTTTAATCGTGGTCTCTACTTCTATATTCTGCTCGAATATAGAAGAATGGGCTTTAGAATTAAGATTTAAATCAAAATACTGTATGTTGGTAAGTTATCAAATACCATATCAAGTTTAGCCTTAAATTAAAAATGATTGGTGGATACACAGTGATTGCCCTAGGTTACAACTGTAAACGAAGATTTATTCTATATTTAGAATCTGAAAAGGTGGTGTATACAGCACTATTTGTATACAAATAGATCTGTAGGCAATAGATCTATATTAAGATTGTTCCGTTTCAGCATTCAGGAACACACATAGGTAGTTGGTAACCTCTGTTTCTTTGAATTTCATAGATTATTTTTAATTGTAACAGAGTAGACATTATCTATGGGATTAACTGTATTGTTGCCAGCCAGTGCTCATTCAGGTTTTTTGGCCCTACAAGTAATAAATGTGTGCCTTCAAGTAAGCTTTAATTCCTGGTGATGCTTGGACAAGCTCTTGTAGTTTCTTGGCTTGCCACTGCCATCATTCTAGGACTGCAAGCACAACTGGCCCAAAGTCATCGGGCTAGCTTTGTGTTTAAAGCAGAACAGGTTATTGGAATTCTAATTTGTAGCTTGATGCATTAATACCAAACTGCCTCTCTTATGTACCCCAGATATTTAAATAATGTTTGCCCATGTGAGATAAAAAAAACCAAATCTCCAATAATAACAAAAATCAAATGGTTATTTTGGTCTCAATAATGCCTCTTAAATATAAAATTTTACAGAGTTTTTCTAAAGGGATCTTAGTCCAGAGATTACATTGCCATAATTCTAACAAAAATATAGCCTAAATATCAACATGATTCACACAGTGTTATGTAAACTTCTTGTTCTTTTTGCAGTAGGACTTTCACTTTCCCTCTGAATCCACGAGTTCCCTTAATTTTCCTCCAGAGGATTCCTCAATTTTCCTAAAGATTTTTATGAGAAAAGGAGAGGTCCCACAGATTTAGTTGAATATAATTCAAAGTTATTTTCTTCTTTAACAGATTTAGTACTGTTTTGGAGAATGAGAAATACAAACATGAATAGTTTGCTGAATAGTTTGATCCATCAATTTACAATTTTTTTTAAAATTAGTGAATTTATTTTATCTTTATGTAATCCCCTTTTTCTAAACCTTCATAATATGTGGGGAGGTTTTTCTCTTTTACCCCACATGCAGAGGATTCTGTAATTTTGTTGTATGGAGAATGCATAGAAAAGTATAGTTTGCCATAATACACATTTGACCATAACAAACATGCAACAAAATTGAATATTAATATCTCTTCTGAAGATTATATTCTCCCATTTCTTTCTCTTCTTTCAGTTCCCATGCATAACTGAAAGCACTGTCATAAATGGTTTTTGTCATTCATGAGAGGAACAGTGCTCATAAGTTGGAATCTTCAATAAAGAATGCTTAATTCTTTATTTATATTCCATTTTTATTTAAAGCTTTGCATGATAATTTTATATCTATTCTCGAAAGGCTGTCATAAACACCACACTGTGATCAATGAGCACAATTTGCATTCAGTTTTGTAGCATTTAGACTTTAGATGGAAGACAATCTATAAAATATCAAATTCATAGGAAACAATGAAATAATGCCAGAATATCAATCAAAATTTATATAATGGGAACATAACAGTAATAATTCAGAGGGATAGTAATTGCTTAATCAGAATTATAGCTAGTTACAGCTGATACTAACTGAAAGCTACTTTAGGTTTGGCCTAAAGACTTCATTAATTATATTTTCTTAAAAGAAAACTAGTTTTGAAATATAAGCACTAAATAAAAAAATCAGATGAGAACAAAATCAAAACTAGAAAATCCTATTTTATCCATGAAAGAAATGTTAATTATATATTTTTGAATATTGCGTTAGCTTGATTATAAAATTCTACACATACATATTGAAACACATAAAATGAATTTGAATTTGCAATATCATAAGTTGTTGACCTTAAAAACAGATTTTCAGTAAAATTTTAGGATAATTGATGAATTGGATTTAGTTTGAGAATCAGTAACTATTCAAACCAAACTGAAAATTCATTTGAAATAAGGCAAAGAAATATTGTATTAAGATAATTTATGTGTATGCCCTCCAAGTCAAGCTATGCTGATTCATCGGGGTGGGTATGTAGTTGTTCCTGGGAGAATAGACTATGAATGGCAGGCGTTTACAACAGTACAATATAGTTACATCATCTGGGATGTGAAAGTCATCCTAGGTGCCCTTTTAAGGCTGGCAGGGATTTATATACAGACGCAGTCACATAGGAAAAAGAGGAAATGGATGATTGCTTTAGTAACAACTGCAAATATATCATTTCATACTGCTTGGGAAAAGGCAATGGTAGGTCATTCCTGTATTTAACCATGAAAATAACCTGGATAGACAGAATAAAGTGATTGATGACATAATACTAGATGATGGGCTTCATGGACCAAGTGGCACAACTAAATGGCAGCAAATACGACACTGAGAACAGTTGAGCTTTTTGAGTACTACTAATGGTTTTATGAAGTGACTGGATTGAAGCAATGTCTACTTCTGGGCATCTAGTTGCAGTGAAGTTGCAATGTAGGAAAATAAAATCTGAAACTGAAAACAGAATTATAGTGGGAACACAGAAGATAAGAAACATGGATATGGAAAGTCTCAACAGTGAAATCATATAATGAATCACCTACACAGTGACATCTCAGGTATTAATGAATTGAAATAATGAATTGAGTAGTTTTATGTTGTTTGTTTTTACTAGGGGAATTTAAAAAATGGCATTTCTTCCATAGGATTTTAGCAGAGACAGTACTGGGGTAGAGTCTAGTCAGTGACAAAATATGTCTTACACTTCAGGGAAAGTCTTTCTTTAATAATTAATGTAGTATAGAGGTTAATGAATTTTATGATCAACCTGAAATGAACAGAATGTGGAAACGAAACATGCTGCTTGTGGTTGGAGACTGGAACGTCATAGTTGGAAAAGGAGGACAACAATGTTCAACTATATGGCCTAGGAAATGAAAATGAAGCAGATCAATTTAGTTTTTGACAATCCAATAATTTATTATTTCTTCAAACAACCAAAACAACTGCTACACATATGGACATCTTCAGACATAGCACACAAAAATCAAACACTATGTTATTGGCAATCATTGGAAAAGTTGTTATAATAGAACAAAATGTGGCCAGGGGCTTGATTGTGAAGATATACAAGTGCTCATATACAAGTTTCAAGTCAAGCTAAAGTGAAAGAAAGCCAAGGAGTTTCTACAATATGATCCTAAGCATGTACCCCACCACCATTTTCACAGATAACATCAAGTATTGCTTTCAAGACCTGAACATCATTTGTAAGGAACTAGAAGAACTGTACAATAAAACCAAATAAATTGTTAAGGGTCAATATGAAATGAGATTGTAAAAGAGCAAGCAGCATGTCAACAGATGATGGAAAATTGTCAAGAAGAGATAAGCCAAAATTTAAGAAAACCTGAGATCATGGAAAGAAACTTATTTTAAAAATTCAGAAAAAAGACAAGCAGAATTAGGATGACATCTGTAAAAATATTGAGAATAGAAACTGATTATAGAAAAAAGGCAAAGCCTTCCAAAAGATTTCTGAACATAATGGTATACTAAAAGATCCCACTTGACAAGATGCAAGGACTATACTGAAATTCTATACAATAGGTATAGCAGTCAAAATACTGTAGATTTTTCCTATTTATAAGAAACTAATAGAAAATGTATTTAGATCACATTAAGATCATTACCACAAGAGAAAGCTACAAGAATTTTTAGATATCTCCAGAAGTATGGCAAGCAACAGAAGAAAAGATTCTGACCAAACTATGCCAGTAAACAATTCCAAAATATCTTATTGGAAGGAGTATGCAATAAAACATATTGATTAGTTCTTTCATTGTATGCATTTCATTGCATTATCTGATGTACAGTTTCATTGTTTTCAGACTGACATTATTGACAAATTGATGATTAATTCATTTTCCTGTCAATCAGAAATTTTTAAAAAATGTTTTTCCATTTGTTTACTATATATATAAGCTACCCATTTTAAGTATGTCTAGGTAACGTACACAATTTAAATTTTATACTTACAATACACGTAAAACACACAAATTATGAAGTAGGATTGTCTACCTTTTAAATTTTTGGGCAGTCAGCTTGGCTGGATATAGTTATAGCTATAGTTAGCATTGATAGGTATGCCATTCTCCTAGGCGCTGCTTGGAGTATTCCAAGCATGGGTTAACTTCAGCTTGATGCCCAAGGACTTAGTTCCACGTTTGTGTAGC